TTCAGTTCCTTAGTTTTGAAAGGAAAAAAAAATTTCAGTTCATCGCTTCGTTGTTTCTAAACCTTTTCCACTTATCAAACAGTTCCAAGCTGAAAAGGCATTAATGCTTTCTCTTTATCTACGTTGATTATTTTATTTTACCTACTTCTTCTTTTTTTAATTGCATGTTTATTCAACTAATTGCATTTATTCCACAAAATATTTTAGTTTTAAAGTCACATGTGTCCATCTGTTTCTAATTTAATAATAATAACGACCATTCAGTGTTTTGAGTATAAAAACGAACCAAATAGCTAGAACATAACCATTATTTTCTGCACTGAAAATTGTTAAGCCTATTAATAATATAGATTATTAAGTCTATTATAACTAATTATTATACCTGTAATGATTAATTTGTATTATTGAAGTACCAAATAGTCATGCATGAAGTTTAACCGACTTATAAATAAGATTAATTGGTATAGAACTAAACTGCTGTAACAGAACCACTACTTTATGTATTAAAATTTGTTAAGGTTATTAATAATATGGATTATTATGTCTATTAGGATTAATTATTATACCTGTTAGGATTAATTGGTATGGAAATACTCAATAGTCATGCATGAAGTTCAACTAACTTTTATGTCAATTGGTATATGCAAGGAATGGAATTTTAAAAGTCGATATAAGGAACTGATTGAATCCTTTTGGTAATATTAAAAAACATTACCATCCTTAACTCATACTTAATATTTAACCAACAGATTGCATCTATCTCCTTAAATTACTCTAATTAATATTTATATCACGCCTTAACTCATAATATTTAACAAAATGAAAAAAAAAATCATGTGCACAATACTTAATTTTTGAGTGAACAAAATTTGATAATTGACTTTCTACAACTTCCTACAAAAATAAAAATAAAGTCTTACATTGTTTAGGAAAAAAGCTTAGGCACATTGAGAAGCAATATAATTAAAATAAGACAACAGATTATAGTATATAAATAAAGCTTTAATGTTTCTAAAGGGAATGTAGATAATTTATCTACATTCGCTCTCAAAACGACATCGTTTTGGGTTAAAAAATTATAATAAAAAAGACTATTATAACTCTGAAATAAATTATAATTACAAAAATACCTTGATTTCTGCCTCAAAACGACGTCGTTTTGAGCTCACTGTAGATAAGTTATCTACATTAACTGTAGAAAAAGTGAACCCATAAATAAAATGTTGTTAAAATAAGAAAACAAATCATAGTATATAAGAAAATAAGGAAACTAATCTTAAAATAATATAAGAAAATAGAAGAACGTTAATAACAACTAAATACAATTGTATAAAGTGTTTGTTAGAATAATAAATGTACTAACTCAAATACACACACCTCAGATAATCGATTTAGAGGCAACTATAAAAAACATACATAGATAGTAATCTAGAAGCAACTATAAGAACTTTTTTTGTGTGTATAAATATAAAAATCTATTACATGTTGATATAAAATGCTAACAAGAGATGGCAAAATGGGCTCAACCTAGAAGGCCAACCCACCTCGCCCACCAACACATTCCCCCCTATATTTATTGTCTAACAAACTCGTCTTTGTTTGAGTAAGATAATTGGATTTATTGTTATAACTATTTCATAAACAAGCATCTAAACAAAATGAACAATCAGATTGTGATAAATGAAAGTCCATCTATGAGAAATATTGAAAGAAGCCGAGTCAAACTATATAATTTTTGAATGACTATAGGACAAGTTAATACAATGACATTTGCATTTTATATCAAAGGATCTAATAAGATTCATTTCAAAGTTTTGTGGATAGTCAAGAAATCACTAAGCCCAAAGGAACAGAACTTTATACACGGAGTAGATCAGTTTCATTTGAACTAAAAAAAGAATTACTTATTCTTATTAATTATTCTATCAAAAGGAATGTTTTGCAGTGTATTATTATTTTAATGTTATTTATGATTAGTTATTTCTAACCCAGCGAGTAGTTGGCTTTTCATATTCTTCACCAAATAATTGTTGGTAGAATTGAAGTATTATTGAGATTAAATACAATGTATTAAAATATATGCTTATATGTGTATATATATATGTATGTATAAAATTGGTGAATAATTATTTATACTTAAAACAATTAAGCTAATGAATTGTCTTTTGATATTACCACATTCAACTTCAACTATGAAGTGTTTGTTATAATATTACATGTACTAACTCAATCAACTCTTCATCTAATATATATGTCACAGATACACACACACCTCATAAAGTCAGGTTAGAGGTAACTATAGAAAACATAGATATATAATAATCTAGACACAACTATAGGAACATTTTTTTTATGTGGATAAGTATAAAAACTTATTACATGCTAATATAAAATGCTGACAGTTAGAGGCGACAAAATGGGTTTGGACTGGATGGCCGTCCCACACCGCCGGCCAACACATTTTCCCCCTTATGTTCACTGTCTAACAAATCCGTCTTTGTGTGGCTAAGATAATTGGATTTACTGTTGTAAATATTTTAGAAACAAGCATCTAAACAAAATGAACAATCAAATTATGATAAATGAAAGTTCATCTTTGAAAAATATTGAAAGAAGCTGAGTCAAACTACGTAATTTTTGAATGACTACAGGCAGTGGCGGAACCAGAAAAATTAATTCATGTTCGCACATTTAGTAGCAGAAATTTTTTTTTATATAACTTTCACATGGAGTGGACAAAAAATAAAATAAAAAATGTAGATCACATCTCTTTGTGAGAATAAAATAACACTAATTGAGAAAAAAAATTTCCCATATAATAAACCAAACCAATCTCCACAAGAAACAAGCAACCCTATTTTTCCTTCTCTCTGGCAAAAACAAAGCCATGGATGTGTTCCTTAGCAATGAGGAAGAGAGTGAGATGAACAGAAGAATATTCCTCATATCCCTTGTTTGCTTATGCGTGGCATTGATTAATTATCGTCTTCTCATTTTCCATCTACATCTGGTTGTGTGTCCTAGCACGCCAATCTCGCCCTACAGGTTCCATTCACCTACTCAGCCTCACCATGGCTCATAATGCTAATCATCATCATCACACAGAACCAACCAACACAGGTCTTGACCCCGCCATCATCGCGACACTGCCCACGTTCATAGTCTTGAAGAATATGCAAGCTAATGGTGGCTCTGTGATGGAGTGTGTTGTGTGCCTGAGTGCTCTGGAACATCATGCAACAAACAAGAAGAAAAAAAAATCAAAATTTTCATGTCCGCAAGTGCGGACATTTGCCCCGACGTGGGTCCGCCATTGACTATAGGACAAGCTAATATAATGACATTTGCATTTTATAACAAAGGATCAAACAAGATGCCTTTGCAAAGTTTTGTGGACAGTCAAATAATCACTAAACCCATAGGTATAGAACTTTACACATGGAGTAGAGTTTCATTTGAACTAAAAAATAATAATAATTTATTCTTATTAATTACTGAATTAAAAGGAATGATCATTTAATGTTTTGCAATATATCATTATTTTAATGCTATTTATGATTAGTTGTTTCCAAAGTAGTGAGTAGTTGGCTTTTCATATTATTCACCAAATTATTATTGGTAGAGTTGAAGTATTATTGAAATTAATTACGATACATTAAATATATGCTTACATAGATGTTGATTTTGTGAATAATTATTTTTACTTAAGCAATTAAGCTAATGAATGGTCTTTTGATATTATCACATTCAACTTCAACTATAAAGTGTTTGTTAGAATATTAAAATTATCATCTCAAATATTTGCTAACTCTTAATCTAATATATATGTCACAAATACACATACCTCGAAAAGTTGATTTAGAGACAACTATAGAAAACATAGATAAATAGTAATCTAGACACAACTATAAAACTTTTTTTTGGTGGATTAATATAAAAATCTATTACATGCTGATATAAAATGCTGACATTTAGAAGTGGCAAAATAGATTCGGCCCGCCCGCCAACACATTTTCCCTCTTATATTTATTGTCTAACAAACCCTTCTTTGTGTGGCTAAGATAATTTGATTTACTGTTGTAAATATTTCATAAACAAAAATATAACCAAAATAAACAATCAGATTGAAATAAATGAAAGTCCATATCTGAGAAATACCGAAAAAAGACGAGTCAAACTACATATTTTTGAATAACTACAGGACAAGCTAAATACAATAACATCTGTCATTTTATATTAAAGGATTAAACAAGATGTCTTTGCAAAATTTGGTAAACAGTCAAATAATCACTAAGCCCACATGTACATAACTACATACATAGAGTAAAGTTTTACAGTATATTATTATTTTACAGTATATCATTATTTTAATGCTATTTATGATTAGTTATTTCCAACTCAGTGAATAGTTGAGTTTTTATATTCTTCGCCAAATTATTGTTGGTAGATTTGAAATATTATTGAGATTAAATACGATACATTAAATATATACTTTAATATATGTTAATTTTGTGAATAATTGTTTATACTTATGTAATTAAGCTAATGAATGATCTTTTAAATTACTTCATTCAACTTTTTTTTTTTTTTTTGGAAATCTTCATTCAACTTTAATTATGAAATGTTTGTTAAAATATTAAACGAACTAACTTTACATGTACAAAAAGTTAGAATTAAGTCCTTTATAGTATTGATTTAAATAAAATATAGTGATATATTTTTAAAATTTACATTAATTTTTACAAATCAGACAAACAATTTTATTTTATTTTTCTCGGTGCAAAACACCGGTAAATGGTAATATACTAGTCTATGTAAAAAATGAAGAAGCAAATGCTATGGGTAAATATTAAAATGATACGCGTGGCTTCCACAATATTGTAGCATCAACCAAATTTTTGATTGAACTCTGACGAAAGCATCAGCTAAAAAGCGTGTGCTGACACTTAATTTTAGTCAACGGTCAATAGCATTCAAAGCAGCTCTTGTCTCTGGCTAAGATCAACGGCCATGGAGCTGTCTGTGAGTGTGACACTCAGATTCCGATCACAGAGCTTCTCACCCTTCTCCCACTCGCACCCACTCAACCATCTGATACCCATTTCTCCCAAATCCCACAAACCCTCTTCACTGACGGTGACAGCCAAGAAAAATATAACCATTGAAGGTGTCAGTGACGAGTTGAACACCATCGCTTCTCAGAACCTCGATTTCGCACCCTCTCGGAGACGGGTCAGAGCAGCTTTCACTGAGTTGCAGCAGCACCTCGACCATTACTTATTCAAGGTTACATGACTTTTCAACATGTTTTTGAGTTTTTCTTTACTGGGTGTTGCTTTGTGCTTTGATAAAGGATCAGTGACACTGTCGTTTCAATCTCTTACTATGTTTGTCTTTGATTGGCAAGCTAGACTGCTCCTGCTGGGATCAGAACTCAAGAAGTATGCTTTTTTTTGTTCTTTCTCTGTGAGCATATTTTGAAGTATTTTCTTTTATTGGTTTGGTGAAAAATGTGATCAATTTAGTAATTTGTTTGTTAGTGGTACGAAATGAATTCGAGGGGATTGGAAATTTTCTGCAAAAGCTGGATGCCAGAACCCGGGGTTCCAATCAAAGCAGCTTTGTGTTTCTGCCATGGGTATGGCAGTACTTGCACTTTCTTCTTTGAAGGTTTGTCGTAATTTCATTTCAAAAAGCAGCTAAGTTTCCCTGAATAGTATGTCATACATTGTAGAGTAAATACGCTTTTCTGTACTCACAAATTCAAAAAAGACTCACATTAGTTCCTCAAAAGAGACTAAAATAGGTCCACTTTGAATTTCTTAAGGACCACAAATAGCTTTTTTATTTGCTAGGGACTAAAGCGGACGTCGTAAAATTTTCTGAGGACCGAAAAGGGGTATTTACTCTACATTGTATCTTTAACGAAGCTAGAAAGTTATATCAAATGTGATGAGGGAGGATTTGAATTTCTGTTCAGGTATTGCCAAGCGAATTGCTGCTTCTGGGTATGGTGTTTTTGCTATGGACTATCCGGGTTTCGGTCTATCCGAAGGATTACATGGTTACATACCAAATTTTGATGATTTGGTTGATGACGTTATAGAACATTATACAAAAATCAAAGGTATGACTTTTTAGCATCCATGATGTCATAATGATCATAGTTGTAATCGTTTATGTGTGAAGATACATAATGTGGTTGACCATGCTTTGTATTTCAATTAACAGCAATGCCTGAGGTGAGAGAGTTGCCTCGATTTATATTGGGGCAGTCAATGGGTGGAGCAATTGCTCTTAAAGTTCATTTGAAGGAACCAAATAATTGGGATGGAGTAATCCTTGTAGCACCGATGTGTAAAGTAAGCCCATTCCTCTGCATTGCAGTTGATGTTACCTGCTTCTTTATGAAAGTTTTCAAATTCTGATTCATTTCACAGTTTGAGAGCACTGCATTGTTAAATTCTAATCATGTCTTTGTCATCTCTCAGGTTCAATTTCATTTTCTTAAAAGCTAGAAGTTTCCCGTCGAAAAAATATATTAGCAATAACCATTGCACGACTGGAGTTCTGTTTTTCTGAATTGAAACATGATAACCGTAGTTAATATCAAACCAGCAATGTCTCCCTCCAATATGGAACTAATAGACCCTAATTCCATTGGCATTTTCAATATTGAAATATTAGAGATATGTAATACATATCTTAGAATTTCGAGATCCAATTATGAGTGGACCTGATTTGAATGTCTGTTTTCCTTATCATTTATGTTGTTTGCAATTCAATTTTTTTTTTTTGATAAATTTCGGATTTATTGTTTGATATCTTATATTTTTAATGAAATTGCAAGAATCAATGCATGCCTTAAAAATGTCTGTAAGAGACTTTGTCCAAGTCAACATTGGAAGAAGTCCAAGGCCAATCTATAGGAAAATAGAACTATCCATCATTTGATGAATGACCATTCGTAGTTGTATTATCATATCTCTCTGATGAAGCCTTATTTGTTGTTCTTGTTTTGGTTCTAAGATTGCAGAGGGCATGTTACCATCAAATTCGGTTTTGAAGGTATTAAATCTTTTGTCTAAAGTGATGCCAAAGGCAAAACTGTTCCCACACAAAGATCTATCTGAGCTGACCTACCGAGAACCTGACAAGAGAAAATTGGTTGGTAACTTTGTCATCTCCTAAGTCCTAATTCTTCAATGCTTTCGAAGTGAAATGAATAAAAAATGTCCTTCTGTATCATGCCTTCTTTAACAAAATATCTTGCATTTACTGAATGTTTAAAGGTCATCACTCTTGGGCATGTATCTTAATTAATAAACATGATGATCACCAACTTAACATGATAACTTGAGCTCATGAATCAACAACCAAATCCATGTGTATAAGCCAGTTCTCTTTATTTTTATCTGATTGGAATTTTTTGTTCTTCTTTAAACCCATATATCCACACTTGATGTTCCTGATATTCATTACCCCATGTGTCTTTGTAACTCCCCACTTAGTGGATGCCAATTAACCTGTCCAATCACGCGTCTTTTCTGCAAGTGTTTCAGGATCACCGACTCAGCCACATATGTACTTCTTTTAAAGAGTTATGTGCACCCATGTTAGCATTTAGGCTTTAGCGAACCTTTGGCCATTCTTAAATTGTGGTTTTAAATGCATGAATGAGCTCCATCATGACTTAATCCACAGTATCTTCTATCATAGAATTTGTGCTAAACTTATAAATTAAAAATTGGATGAAAAAATTTGTCCCTGCAAATTTCCACTCTATTTTTAAGGGTAATACCAAACTAATTGTAGGCGTTTTCTCTTTCTTTTTATAGGCCGCTTACAATGTTATTTCTTATGATGATCAAACACGATTGAAAACTGGCATGGAACTTTTAAGTGCCACACAAGATATTGAGTCACAATTACAGAAGGTTAGTTTTATTTTTTTGTTTTTGCTCACTTTCTGTTGCCTGTTATTTTTTAGAATCTAATTTGGATTTCTACTATGGTTATATGTGTTTTTTGCATGCAATGATTGTCATATCAACCGAAAACATTTATTTATATTTTGGGGATGATATCAGGTTTCAGCTCCATTATTGATTCTTCATGGAGCAGCTGATAAGGTGACAGATCCATTAGTGAGCCAATTTCTTTATGAGAAAGCGTGTAGCGAGGATAAGACTCTAAAGATCTATGAAGGAGGTTACCACGGCATTTTGGAAGGAGAACCAGATGACAGGATTTTTGCTATCCATAATGACATTATCTCATGGCTTAATTTTAGATCCTCAGTTAATTGAGGTTCATGCTTTGGGTCTATCAACATAATTGAGGATAGTGGCCTAGCCAAGAGTTTTTTTTTTATGTAGTGAACAGACACGACACCCTTCTTCAAAGTTACCTCACGGGAATGGGAGAATTATGGTAGTTTGATGTATATGTCAATTTATTCCTATATCAACAATATAATTTCATTACCTAATAAAATATTTTTGTCTTGATCTGGTCATCTTTTTTTGCATATAAAATTTGTGTAAAAATCAATATCTCTGCATATTATAGTTTTTTATATAAAAAAGTTTAGCAATTATTATACTTTTGTTATTTAATTACTTTTATTTTGTTTTTATTAAAACATTTTTTTCTTTAAATTTCTTGATCGTAACAAAATTATTATATATAGTATAAAAAATCATTTATAATTGCGATCTTTGTATAAAAAAAATAATCTATACATAATAATAAAAATCATAAAAAAGTAAGTTATCTGTATAAAAAAAAAAGTAGTAGTGCTTATTTTATCTATACCCTATTATTTATTTATAACAAAGCGAGGTTTCTTATATACTCATATTTTTTATTCATTTTAAATACTATTATTATTCAATTAATTATATATATATATATATATATATATATATATTTTTAATTATAAAATTTTGTAGTTATAATAGTTAATTTTTTATTTTTTTAAAAAAGACTAACTAATGAAATGAGTTTTGAGATAAATCTATACAGAATCCTATTAAAAAAGGAGAAGAAAAAAATGAGATGAGAAAATAAAAGAAATATATTACAAAATTATATGTTATATACTAATCAAGTTATTTCAAGACCTCTTTTTTTTTGTTTATAAAAAAAAACCTTTTTTTTAAACAGACGGGATAAAGGCCTAAGAAAACAAGAAAACAAACAACGACTACCCAGCAGGGCCACAACCCTCACCCTTCCCACATACGCCAAATCACCCAATACAGTAGATAAACACCACTTGGCGAAAACTCAAAAGAACTTTGGTCAACAAGCTTTGACGAATCCAGCAAATAATTTGTCAACCAATCTGCACACATGTTTCCTTCCTTATAAGTATGTTGAAGTTGAACCTGCCAAACTTTTTTCAATTATGTCCGTATACAAGAAAGCAGCTGCACCTACAGACTGCTACACCACAGTTGGTGAGCCCAGTGATTGCCAAAAGCGAATCACTTTCCCAAATAATTTTTCTGTACCCCAAACTCCAAATCCTCTTTAATCCCTGTAGAATGCCCCAAAGTTCAACTTTATAAGAGGAGTAGGAGCCCAACCTGTAAGCAAAACCTCCCAGCCATTTACCTTAAGAATCTCGGATAACACCTCCACATGCTACCCGACCAAGATTACTCCGAGCAGCCCCATCAGTATTCACCTTGACAAAGCCAACTTTCAAAAAATTCCAAGAAACATTCACGTAACATAAACCCGTATTGATATGCAAACGACCAAGATTACCAGCAGCAGAATCCGCATCCAGAACTAGCCTCCTAATAAGATCAACTTTTAAACCGAGAGGAGGGACCTCTTCCCCATTTTTAACCTTTTTCCTCCGACACCAAATCTTCCAGTACGTAACCAAGAAAGTAGACAGCCAATTGACAGATGCATATTCAACAAAAAAACTAGAAAAATTAGATGCAAGCCCTATATCTGAATTATAAAATTCATTACCTTGTTGAAGAGGCCTAAGTTTATCCCACAACAGTCTTGCACTAGAACAACCCCTTAGCACATGGATTATAGTCTCTGGCATACCATTATAGCAAGGGCAATTGTTCTCCCCATCACTCAACTCGATTATTCTACTCTTTGTTAGTAAGTGTTTATGCATCAATTTCCATGTAAAAATTTCAATCTTTTGAGGACCCTTCCAAGTCCGCAAAAGCTTTCATCGCTTTTTAGCTTCCTCATCAATTAATTAATGATTAGTAAGACGTTCATAAATAGCACCAACAGATAGAGAGTTGGAATCCGAAAGGTGCCACACTCTTTTTATCAGGCCCATCCTCAAGCTTAGGAGGGAGAATGCTGCGGATAATATCAATAACATTAATTGGTAGCCACCTCCTTATCTGATCAAAATCCCACTCCCCTACTGCAGTAACCACATCTGCAACCATCATGTTTTCAGTCATCAGACATTCTTAATCTTCAACAAAATCCTCTAGATTGCAAGAAAGAAGAAGCCACTTATTAATCCAGAAACGCACCTCCTTACCATTGCTAAGCACGCACACCAAAATATCCTCCAGAGCATGCCAGATTCTGCAAACGTTCCTCCAGAGATTTGAATAACCTTTTCTAGCCTCAAACGAAGAGTCTCTTATACCGTGAACCCTGTATTTAGCATGAGTAACTTGAACCCAAAGCTGATCCAGATTTGTATGAATTCTCCATGCCTTTTTGGCCAAGTAAGCATCATTCATAAGATCCAAACGTCTTAATCCTAGACCACTTGATAGCTTAGGAGAAGTAATAACATTCTAACTAAAAGGAATGATGTCTTCGGATGTAATCCCTGTCACCCCAAATAAAATCCCTCTGCAATTTCTCTATGCTCACACACACCCCTAAAGGCAGTTTACAACTTCGCATTTGGAAGGAAGGAATTGCAGCCAAAACCAATTGAGAGAGTGTAATATGGCTTGCTTGGGAGAGACACTGTTGTTGCCAACTACTCAACTTATCTTTAATTTTTCCCACTAACCCTTCATATAAAGATTTAGAGAATCTGCCTTGCTGCGTCATAGCCCTAAGATATCTGCCCATTTTATTCATACGTTTAAAACCACTAATTTGTACAACTTTATCCATGACTTCCCTTGAGGTATTCTTTGAGAAAAACACAAATGTTTTTTCCACGCTAAGTTTTTGGCCGTATGTCTCTTCAGAAAATTTCAAGCATTTTAGAAGCATGTGAATATGGTCTTCAGTTGCTTCCATGAACATCATTAAATCATCTGCGAAAGCCAAGTGAGAAATCCTCGGACCACCCTTACCTGCATACATTGGTTTCCATAATCCACCATTAATGGCAGTGGTGATAATATGGGTGAGCTTTTCAATGGCCAGAACGAGATGATAACGGAGTAGAGGATCCCCCTGACGAAGACCCCTTGAAGGACTAAAGTCCTTAGTTTTCCCCCCATTCCACAACACATTTGTTCTAGTAGAAAAGATGCACTACATAATGATATTAATAAGAGGCTCAGGAAACTGAATTTCCTCCAATTTTTTGCGCAGAAAATTCCAACTCACTCTATCATATGCCATGACTAGATCAATTTTAATTGTCATAAAAGCCTTCTTTCCTCTCATCTTACTCGTGGAGTGAATCAGCTCCTGGACAATTGTGATATTGTCCTGAATTTGTCTATCCAAAATAAAACTCACCTGGAAAGGGGATACTATCTTGTCAATCACATGTTTCAGCTGACTCACTATAATATTAGAGAAAAGCTTGTAGATAACTGATCACAAAGAAATGGGGCGAAACTGGGCAATGGATTCATGTTTCTTTGTCTTAGGAATCAAAACCAACAATGTTGCCTTCACTTCCTTGATCGAGTCCAGATTTACCCATGTAGTTTTAATTGCACTGTAAACTTGAATCTTCCATCTATTCCAGTGTCTCTGAAAGAAAATGGTTGGATAGCCATCAAACCTAGGGAATTTATAGGCACCCATAGATAAAAGATTCTGTCTGATTTCAAGGTCACTGGGAGGGACAACCAGCAACTGCAACTCATCTTGGGAGAGCATAGGCCACAAGCTTTTCGAATTAATCCACCTACGCTCGATCACCTTTTCCCTAAAAAAAATCCTTGTAGAAATTGCAGACATGATCTTTTTCAATAGGATCTTCGATCCACATGTTCATACTACCACGAAGTCTAGTGATCCTGTTTTGAGATATTCGAATAACGGTCTTCAGATGGTAAAACCTTATGTTTTTATCCCCATCAACTATCCAATTGTGTCTTGACTTCTGAAACCACATCAACTCCTCCTGGTCAAGAGTTTCATTAAGGAGATTCTGCAATTGATCCTTAATATCCTGAAGTATGGGGCAGTCCATAGTTTCCCTTTGCACATGAATATCCGCAATCTTTTTTGTTAAATCTCTCTTTCGGTTGTTACTATCCCTAAAAATTTCCGTATTCCACTTCTTTAGATGAGGGGTGAACCTTTAGAGCATATTAGAGACAAACAGATCTGGACACCAGTTGTCGTCCAAGAGCTCATCAAAGCAAAGGTGATCCATCCAAATGGCCAAAAATCTGAAAAGTCTCTCTATCCAATGATGCAAACATTTTGATATGGACAGAAGAAGCAAATTATGATCTGACAAAATTCTAGGAAAGGATTGGACAACAGCATCCTTGAAATCGAGTCTCCAATTCACATTAACACACTCTATCCAATTTTTTGAACACTCTATCGAAGTGGTTCCATTTCCCTGCCACGTGAATTTAGTTCCTAAACCACCAACCTCCTCGACATGATAAAGTCGTAGTTTATATTATTATATTTTAAAAAGATGGAGTTATATAATTATAATATCTTTTCCGTTATGACCTTCTACAATTATTTTTGTTGTCATTTAATCAAAATTAAATGGGAAAAGTTCAAAAAATCCCCTGTGGTATTGCTTTGAATTACTTACATCCCTATTTTTTTAATCACTTAATCCCTATGGTTTTTCTCATCCACACATGTCTTTAACACTATTAGACAATTAACTAAGTATACATATTCTACCCTTCTTAGAAGAAAAAAATAAAGTGATAAAAAAAGAAAATTAAGACCAAATGTTATGAAAATATAAAACACTTAATAAAAGACTAAAAGAAAAAATAGTAAAAAAAATTCAAATAAATCAAAATAAAAAAAGAAAATAAATGTATAAAAATAAGAAATAGAATAAGAAAAAAAATATAGAAGAAACCAAATAATGGTAGCTGAGCAGGTGGATGTGAGAGCATGTGTACGATCCTCCTCGTTACCATCTTTAGAAAGGGTTTAAAGCCTTATTATTGGACCCGGCTCGTGTAGGATTACTCCCGTAGAGGATACATGTAGTTTATCCCAAAAAAATAGAAGAAAAAATATATTAAAAATCACATCAGTGACAGAAATTAAAAAAAAAAAAAAATAGTCCAAATGAAAAAAAAAATACTGAAGACAAAAAACTAGAAGAAAAAATTAAGAGAAAAAAGAAATAGAATAAAAAAAAAATCACAGTTATTACTTTCGAGTATATTTAGTTTTATTTTTGTTGTCCTTGCTCTATTTTATCCCCTTTTTATTTAGATGTATTTGACCTTTTTCCTATTTTTTTTTTCATGTTTTGGTCAATTTTATTCTGACTTTCTTCTCGATTTTTTTTAGTCTTGTGCCACCCCATCTACTAAAGATTTTAGAAAAAAATTTAAAAAATAGAGAGAATAAAATAGAGATATAAAAAAGACCAAACATATCTAAATAGAAAGAATAAATAGACCAAGGATCGGAAAAAAAAAAACAAATATATTGGAAATTCATAATTGTGATTTTTTTTTCTTATATTTTCTTTTTTTTATACATTTCTTATTTTTCAGGATTATTATAGTCTTTATAATTATAATTTTTTAATATCTCAATCCCAAAACGACGTCATTTTGGGAGTAAATACAAATAACTTATCTACATTAATTGCATAAATATTTTTCTGTATATATATATGGGATGATTATATTTACAAACTTTTTGTTTACAAACTACACTATGTACTCCCAGGAGAACACTAGGTTACATTATGTTTTCCCGAGAGTACATAATGTAATTTACAAAAATTTATAATTTTTTTTTATAAACAGATCCTTCCCCATATATATATATATATGGACGATTATACTTACTACTGAAAATTTTAACTACTAAACTAAGGCGTTAATAGTTCTTCTGTCGCTGCAGATGGAAAAATTTGCAGCAACACTTAGTTTCACTAGGATACAGTTCCGTATCCTGTAGTTTTTATTTATTTATTTATTTTTAGTTCAGGATACGGCTCCGTATCCTAGTATTAATAGGTTTGCTGCAATTTTTCTCATCTGCAGCGACAGTAGAAACGAGGAACCCTAAACTAATCACTATTGATTTATGGTAATCTAATAGTTATAACCACCGATAGATTAATAAAAATCAACGGTAACTAAATTAGTAGTAAGTATAATCTCTCCTAATGATTAACTTATATCGATATAAGAATAATAAAACTAATATAATATAGGGGTAGGATATTGTAACAACCAATTAGGATTACTACGAATGCTATTACATATCAATTTCATTGTTAGATGAATTATGTTGATTCAACGGTTATATTTATTTCCATCTTTGTATAATTATGATTCCTCATATTTAATGTGAAAGTATTAAATACAAAAAATCATAATAACCATACAAAGATGGAAATAAATATAACCGTTGGATCAACATAATCGATCTAACAGTGAATTTGATTGGTAACAATATTAATAGTAACCTAATTAATTGTTACAATATCCTATCCCTAATATACGAGAAAATAAAAAACCTAAAAAATAATAATGGCAGTAATAATTTTGTAATTGTTAAGAAACAATGATTTTTTGTCGGGTTGGACAGAAGGCATGTATTATATAGGTGGGTAGACGAAATCTGAAGGGCAATCAACTGAACAAGCGAAGCAGAGGCAGAGGTTGTTTTGTTACGTTGGCATCTAAATCAGCATGTCACTTCTTAATCAACTCTTTAACAGAGGCGTTTTAGGCACTAGATGGTAATTTCTCTTCTGTGATTCATCCAATTCCATGTTCTAAGATTTAAGTTTTATGGTAAGACCCAATCTTTATTACCCGATTTTGGGTTTTGGGATATGCCTTTTTTTGTATGAAGTCTGAAATTTTAGGATATGTGCATTGCGTTTCTGTATTACAGGATTTTAGGTTTCGTAATTTGATCTCAATCATTTTTGTTATCCTACGCATGTTCAAATAATAAGTTAATTGTTTATTGTGTCAAAAATTCAATTCCAATTTTGAGTCTTTAGGTTTTCTCTAAATTTATTGAAACTTGAAAGTATATTTTGAGATATATCAAATGTGTATAGCCAGATTTTGGGTTAATGGGAATTACTGTTGATGGAAGTGAGCTATCGTGGTGAAAGAATACGAATCCTCAGTAGATGTGATTGTGATTATTGAAAAGATTCTTCTATACTTTGGATTTGAGTGAATGTTTTACAGATGGTTCGTGGATATTCTTTCAATGTGTGATAAGTAACTAGTAAACATGGTGTTTTTCTTTCCTTTTCATCTTTGGTCTTCGTAGCAAAACATGTCTGAACCTGGCAATTTCACGCATTAAGCTGCTGCAAAACAAGAGAGATATGCAACTCAAACAAATGCGTAAGGAGATATTCCAATTCTTGCAGGCTGGCCAAGAGGCAATTGCTAGAATTCGGGTAATCCTTCAAAATCTTGGTGAATGGCTGCTAGTTTCTAGATCCTTTTCCCCTATGTATTGTGACATGTTGTTTGTGAATTGCATCGACTTAAATAGGTGGAGCATATCATACGAGAACAAAATATATGGGCTGCATATGAAATATTGGAGTTATTCTGTGAATTTGTTCTTGCACGTGTACCTATAATTGAGAGTCAGAGGTAAGTCCTTAAGCCTGTTCTTATTGGACATACTGTGTATTGTCATGTTGATTAACATACATGAAGTTCAGTACTCATGCAAATCACGAAGTGTTTTTTCTGGTATAGGCAAATTTCTGTTACATTCTAATTATAATTGCTTGGTGAATTTTTGTGAATGCAATTTTGCAAAAAATGGGGAACAGAGTGATAGCTTTCTGGATCTTCCTGCTTCACAATATTTTACCGGTGACTATCCTTTTTTCAATACACTAGAAAACAGAGCATTTGGAAAGGCTGTGTACCCTATTGGTACTTTTTTGGTTTAGAAAATCATCACAAACATGACAATGACCTCTATATTGTCAGTTCAAACTAAATTATGATCAATTAGAGTGTTTCTGAATCTTCAAGGGGGTTCAGAGGGGGTAAAATATATGTTTCTAAACATAAATGGGATAAAAGTAAGGTTTGAAACTTGGTTCACCGAAATTACTATGGACTAAAACTATAGGGAGGAAAATTGTAATTTACCTATACTTGTATGACAGATTTGTTTTCGTGTTTTGTGTGTATATTGACACAGGCCATACTTGTTTGGAATGATTTTTGTTGCTGTGAGTTTATATGAGGAAATTATTAGCAACTAAATGAATAATTGCTGTAAAAAGCATCCAGTGATCTCCATGCATTAAATGTTTTCAGTGTTTATAATACCCACACTAAATCATTATTAGTGCTGAGAATATTCATTTTCTGTACTGCATTGAGTTTTCAAACAGTCCCACAATTTCTTGTACAATTTACAGCAAACTGTTTTTTTATTCAATCTTGAAGCCTTCCTTCTCCACATGATAGGGATTGCCCCTCAGAATTGCGAGAAGCCATTGCAAGTATAATTTTTGCTGCTCCTAGATGTTCAGATGTACCAGACTTATTGCACATTAAGAACTTGTTTACCACTAAATATGGGAAGGAATTCGTCTCTGCAGTATCTGAACTTCGTCCTGATTCTGGCGTGAACCGCACGGTGAATTATCTTTCATTGCAGTTTCTTAATATCAAACAACTATTGATTATGCTGGAGTATTAAAATTTTAACAATTGTTATTATAATAATTTAACAATTATTAAATTATTATGGATAATAATTTAACAATTATTGTCCATCTTTTCTTTTGATTTTATTATTTCAGATAATTGAAAAGCTTTCTATTAGTGCTCCATCCGGCGAGGTAAAACTCAAGATCTTAAGGGAGATAGCAGAAGAATACAATCTAACATGGGATTCTTCTAAAACTGAGGCAGAATTCAGGAAAAATCATGAAGATCTCCTGGTAATTTTATCCGTGATCACTTCTAGATCCACAGGATATTATACATCTGTCACTAATGGTAAACAACATCTGTAAACTAATAAGTTATCACTTGTCTAACACTAGCACCCTACTGCAATCTATATCCTTGATCTAACAACAAAACATCAACATCACCTTTATCTCAAATTAGTTGGGGTACTTGGCTCTTCATGTAATAGTTCTACCATGTGAATTGAGAAGTGACTCTAATTGTTGTGGATGACGATTCGTCTCACACAATCATGTTCTTGTTGGGTCAAGGTCTGCATAAATACAAATGCACTTAACAGAAACACGATACGTATAAAGATTCATATCAAAACCTTAGACACGAACATGGTCCACTTCTGCGACCCGAATAACTCTCCAATCTCATTTATTATTGTTGTTGTTTATTTATTCAATTTTTTTTTGTAATTTGTCAGTCAACTTGATCTCCCTACTTGGGGCTTCTTTGGTATATTTGAGTTGAATATACCCATTTGTCTGATTTCAGAACTTTTGACATTGAGAAGCTTGCCACTTGACACGTGCAGCCTCTTACTAATAAATCATGAACTTACTGACCTACGTGTCAAATACTTTATACATTTCAGCAAATGGATATGAATTTATGATTCCCAGATTTGTCATGCTATTATACTTTGTTGTCTACTTCTCTACTGTGGTATCAGGAATATATCAGTTTGTCTTGATTTATATTATGATTTTCTCATTAACTGTAGGGTGGAGCAAAGCAAGTTGGTGTTGGAGCTGCACTTTCTAATACTCCCAGCAAAAAGGGTTCTAATAATTTGTCACCTAGTAATAAGGAAGATTCTATCAAATCTATGCATGACAAACAAGAATATAAACACCTTGAAGCTCCCAGCCCTTCTAACAATAATTTTGGGTTGAATACTAATGAAATTGAACAGTCACACAAAAATAATGATGTTGCCGTTGGAGATGCAAAAAGTGAGACAAGATTTCAATCCTCTGATGTATTGGAGAAAGCCCGAGCTGCCATTGCTTCTGCAGAGCGTGCATCTGCAGCTGCTCGTGCTGCCGCTGCACTAGTACACGGTAATTTTGGATCTTTGAAGCTGGAAGGTAGATCTTCATAGTGCTTAAAATGGATGGATGACCTTTGCCCGGGATCTTAAGGTTGAAATACTGTTAAATGTCAAAGGAGAAAAATAAATAAATATGATCTTTGTTGTGGAGATAACAGTCTCCTCGAGTGATTATAAGTGATGAGAATAATGCCGTATTTATTGTACATTCTATAATTAATACGTGTGTATATCTTTGTAATGAAATGTAATATTAAACTTGCTTAAATTTTTCCTGATTCTTGCGACCGCTTATGTTTGTATATCATGTTTTAAAGAATGTTATTGCTAGAGCATTTCCGAATGGTTTTTCTTCTTATCTCGTGCATATTTTTAATGCAAGTATGATATAAAATTTTGTAGTTGTATCATCTACGAGTTGGGTGTCGTGCCATTTTCAACCTGTTATGGTACAAGTATAACAAAACCACCATGCGTGCTTGGTTTGTTTCTTTGAAGCAACAAAATTTAAAGCTAACTTGCTACTTGCTAGTGAATACAATAGACACCTCTTAGAAAGCCATGCTCAAAAGAAAGGGGAAAGATCGTGCAAACGAAGGAGAAATGAGCAGGCAACCCTGGTAAGCATGAACATTTACAAAAAATCTATTTTGTGCCTACAATGGCCATCGAGTTCACACAACTGACACGAGATTAAGGCTGTATATACGGTTAACATGTATGTTGTACTTGTATCCACGTGTCTTATTGCATACTTGACCAATGCTGCAGCTCTTAGATAATCAGTTGTGGCTCGTGACTAAGAAAGAGTATGAAAACTACTATGATCACCAAATGAGCATTACGAAAGTTACCTTTTGATGTTATTATGATTTTATTTTTGCCTTTGATTAGTTTGATTTGCGAAGCCTTTTAGATTTTGGAATTTAGATTCTTGATATTTTTGCCTTCTGTTATTATGATTTTGTTACACATAAAAAGTTTAACACTTTGGAAACAAATTGAAAGTGTAGGGAAAATAGCTTGCTAGGCTAAGCCGCTCGTGAAAGAATCTAGTACTTTGAATTATAAGTCTTGAGTTATCTTTTGAATTTTTATTCTACTTGCCACTCAGAACAGATAGTAGGACGGGTTCTGACAGCCCAATCTAAGAACAATACCTAAACGACTGTGAAGATAAGCCCGAAAACATAGTTTTCAATCATACGAGGAGTCCAATCAACTTATAGGCTAAGCACCTACTTCGCATGACAATTGGAAAAACAAAATATCAAATTAACAATTCATGTAAATTGAAATTATGAAATTCCCCTGGAATATATTATTAAACGGGACACAATTGAAATTCTCATATTTTTTTGCTATTGTATTTAAACAATATATTAATATCTTTTACAATTTCTTATACTATCAAACAAGTATGTGTGTGTATTATACATATATAGTTAAAAATGTAAGATTTAATTAAAAAAAAATGTAAGAATTAGCTCTCTAGGGAGTGACCATTCAACTACTCGCGCAACATATATCTATTTAATAAAACAAATTAGTTGCGTGAGTTTGAGCGTAAGTATTCGATCTTCTTCAGTGTCATCTTTGGAAGGAATTTAAAACCTTAATTTCAGGACCCGCTCTAAATCGAACTAGTCGCGAAGCGATGAACCGAGTGAAATATCTCAAAAAAAATGGTATTTTAATTTTTTTTTGTGTGATAAAATGTAATTTCACTCATTAATTTAAAATGAAACTTTTATACATGGTGATTTCTTACTATAAAAGCAACTTTAAATTGAGCAATTACTTAAACATGAATTTCTCATACGAACTAGACGAATTCCTACACAAAAATTAAAATAATAATTTTTACATCATAAAATTCATGTGAAAACAACAAAACTTGTTATTAATTATTTATCTCAGACATTGCATTTTTTAAAAAAAAAGGTAAAACATAACGAGACAAACAAAACAAACGCATAGACAGATTCATTATTTGAATGGAGAGGCATGATTGTTTATGAGAGCACCAAACGAAGCTACTTTTGGGTGCGGCAGGAGTACCAACTCCTTTACCCAAAAAGAAAAAATATGGAATATGAGTGAAAATAATCATCAAGGTATTAGTTTTTGAGAAAAACTAATATTATGTAACACGATATAAAAAATTTTATGCACTCACTCGTTGGTTTCTGTACCAACATTTTTTATTTTTATTTTTATTATATGTATGGGATCCACATGCATTTTTGTTTGAGTAGAAAAAATTATTTAGATTATGTTAGATGATGGTAGCTCTATTCTTAGTTTTTAATCATATTTGATAAACAATGCACCTAATGTTTAGTACAACGGGATTATGGTAGTTAAAATTTTGATTTACCATTGCGTTTTTATATTTTTATGATTTTTTTTGGTTATGATTTTATGCTTTTTCATCAAAACGTTTTTATCAATATTCCAAACGCTTCTTTTTTTACGTAAAATCTTGATTTTAACTACCTTTAACGGGAGTATCAAAAATATTTTTCACCAAATGAATTGGTGGTAGGGCCACACACCAAGGGCCCATTTGAATGGGCTTGTAAAAAAGGACTTTTAAGAAGTGGTTTTTATACAAGAGGTAAAGCAATTTATATTTTTAAAAAAATATTTGATTTTTTTAGAAGTTAAAAGTTTTAGCTAAAAAAAGAGAGCAAATTTTTGATTTTTTTATGACTTTTATTTTATTTTAAAAACAGACATCTAAACGAATTTTGTAATAGAAATAATTTTATTTTGTATTTTTCTAAAAGAAAGCCATTTTTTGACTTAAAAAAAAAAAAAAAAACTATCTAAACGGCCCAAGTGAGTCAGAAGAACCAAAACATTATTCTTGTTGGAATTCCCGGACATTACCTACATCAACATGCACCCTACTCTCTAGTGACCACACAAGCTAAAGGGTGAACCCTAATGCCCCTAGGTTTCACATAAGAGCCCTATTGCCCTAGCCCTTTACATGCTATACCTAGCTATTACATCTACATCATCCATTTGGCACTTATCACTACCCTTTTTTGCAGGCAGAGATTTTCTCAGACACAAGATTTATAGTTTTGTATTGTATCGTAATATATATACTCAACGCATAATCACACTTCTCAAACCACATCCCTCTCTCATGCAACTCCATTCCACTCGTCTGATTCATAAAAGACACACAGTACCTATGCATGAAACTTCAGCAAATTAACAGTTCTGTAAGAGGCACACTAAGCCGTACATTTATTCACTGTGATCAGAGAGAGAGAGAGAGTGCTTGTTTGTGTGTGACAAAGATGTAACGTAGAGTTTTGCAAAAAAAAAAAAGAAAGAAAGAAAGATTTAACGTAGGTTTGCAGGGGAACTAATAAGGACAGAAGTGAACAAGACCGGACCAGTAAAGAAAAATTGGTGGGTGGGGATGGTACTATAGTAGCCACTAGCAAGAACAAATGCGAAGGGGCCTCCCCAACCTTCTCAGTTTTTCATAACACTCGTATGTATATTATGTTTCCATTCATTTATGTCGGCGTCATGGTCCCTTCTCACTTTTCATATCTCTTAATAATAATTATTATTTTATTTATTGCAGTTAGGTGTATTTTCAGCTCTTGGGACTTGTCGAAGGCAATCCATCCTCATGAAACATAAGTTTTATCAGGGTGTATTTCTTGTAATTTAACTTTAAAGTAATTGATATAATTAGAATTTAAACTTGTCATTGTGTAATAATGAGAAACCACATGCTTATGATTTTTTTTAATAATTCGTTAATTAGGAAGTCTAACAATGATTATTCTTTGTTATTTACAAGGCAAAAAAAGAGAACTACAGATTTTTAAGGTTTAAGACAATTTTCAGTTTCTTTTATTTTGTTTAAGTGATAATTTATTTTTTAATTTTCTCTTGCACTTTAAATTCTTTATGTTTCTTTATTTTTCTATTTGTATTACTCTTTTTTCTACTAACTAGATCAGAAAACTAAGTAAACGCATCGTTTTATAATTCTTTTTTTATCAGAAAAAATTAAAAAACTAACTCTAGTCTTGTAGTTTAATTAACAACAATAATGTTTTTGTTTTACCATTTTAGAAGTATATTGTTATCTAACTTGATTGTCATCAAATTTCTAAAATTCGTTATTTTAAGTTGTATCATTATATATAAGAAAATGAGGGAGGTTAAAATCTAAACAAAATGGGATTAAATCAACAAAAAATGTCATTTTAAATGGGAAAATTCTAGGATAATTTTATGTAACAAATGTTTTCTTATAATTAATTTCTCTATTTTTTTATTTTTTGGAATTACACTTAAAATAGTACCTTTTTTTTAAAGTACACGGTGTAAGCAATGGCGGACCCATTTGGGTGCTATTGTTTGCACTTGCAGACATAAAAAAATTGAGAATTTTTCTTTTTCACATAAGATTTGTGATTCAGCCCAAGTAAAAAAAAAAAAGGAAGATTGAAAGGAAAAAGGTAAAAAGTGGAGGAGAATCACACAGAATTTTTCACGATCTTTTTTGAAACAAAAGTGGTCAACTTTGGATCAAATAGGTATGTGGTTTTGATCTATTAACCCCTACAATTATACTATATTTTACAAATGTCTTTTTGTAGTGTTATTTATTTTTTAATTATTATTATCGATTATTTCCTTAAAACTTTGGATGATTCACCAAAGCTTTACTTTTAAAGTGGAAGTAAAAATTTGATCATGATCTTTTATAATAAAAAAAATTGGGGGCGGCGCCCTCGAACCCTCACCTTAGATGTGAAGACATAAAATTTTTTTTATGGGTCTGATGTAAGAATATAAACTGTTCGTATGTGTCTCTGTCTAACTAGTAGCTCAAATTCTTAAAAGGATTAATTCTTTACATAAGAGTTTTGGACATTATTTCTTGCTAGTTGGAGAATGTGTATTAAAATAAAATAATTCATGTGCATTCACTTTGCTTAATAATTTAGAATTATCAGGGATATAATTATTCCCACATGATAGTTTGGGAACTCAAGGCTTGTTATAAATATTATCTAAATTCCACATCCTTTAATCACATCTAGAAATTTAGATTTGATATATTTTATTCAAAATTGTATATAATTTACCAAAGTTTTAGGCAAATTAATTATCAAAAAAAGTATATATTACGGGGTTAAAGTTGAAAGCAAAGTTAACTTATTTACAGCGTGTGATAAAAAGAACAAGGGAGTTAAAAAAGTAATAGAACCCCTCAATAGTCAATTTCTAAATCAGGGCCTGCATGCATGGTAGTATCCATAAGGGGGGGGCGAGGGAAAGGGAGAATT